GCAGACTCTGTGACAGTACCGATGGCTGCCACATGGCGGCACTCAAACTCCATGCCCCTAAACCTGGATCCATTTGGGAATTCAAATCAGCTTTCAGTCACATGCAGTTGGGCGGTGAAGGTAAACTGACAGCTGACTACAATAAAATAAAGTTACCTTAGTAGAAAATATTGTTACATTTGTGAGACAATTTTTTTTCATTGTAGCTGTCATGTAATAAACGTAACTGTTCACTGTCCAGTAATATTATCATTTTAGCATAGACTAAAAGGCTGATCAATACTGACAGTGAAGAGACCAACAAGGAGCACAGGCATCAGCCGCTCCGTGAAGCACAAGGTGACCCACATGTGAGTCGCAAACACGTTGACGTGGTCGAGCTTCACCTTGTGAACATCATGGAAATCCACAAGGAGAACCTCAAACGCGTAAACAAGATCGCGATTCACATTTGGCGCCACATGGTGATGCACGGAGCGAATGATGACTGTGCTCTTTGGGGGGCTTCGGACGGAAGTGCCACATCCCACTGTCTTCGGACCAACCACGTTCGTAATGAGAGTCAGACTTATAAATAGGGCGCTGCTGTCACATACAGTTACATACGGGTGTGTGAAAAAAAGTGAGGGCAGAGGAGTTGCATTTTAATACGGAAGTTGAATAAATCACGTATACTAAAATCACAGAGAACTTTCCGCAAAGCACTTATACAAACCTTGCTATCTGTCTGGTTCATTTCATTTCCGCATTGAATCATGGGTAACCGAGCCAAATCGACTAGACCCTTTCCTCCACTTATATTCCTGTGCCGAGAGTACCTGGACGAGCTAATGTGAAAGCAAAAACATGTGAGCACAGTGTGTGTGTAATAGTTTGCAGGCCACAGATATTTTATACACATTGTAATATGGCTCAGTGAGGAGCTGAGGTGGAGCCACGCCCCCTTCAGCCAGATATGTAGGCAGGTGTATCCACACAAAAAAATCCATTTTTAAGTAGTTTCTTACAAATATCAGACACGTCTTTCTGCTGCATGATACTTTACTATTTTTTTTGTGTCATTATATCAAAATATTTATTATTAATATTGTGTCAGGCGGATTAGGGGAGTGTGCTTTACTTAGTAAGGCCTTGTATCTATGAACTGGAACAGATGTCCTGAGCTTAGTTTAGGCTGGTGGAGTAAGGTAGGTGCATCCCTGATTCTGAGCTGGCTGTGTGGATTTCACCTGTCTGTACTGTAACTGTAACATAGGACAAATGAGAGTGCAGACACATATGATGTTTATTCCAGGAGTTTCACACAGGTAATAATACATTTCAGCTGAACTTAAATAAAGACTTATTGTCTTTACTGTCTGTGATTCTTTATCCCAGTGATCTGTGGCAGGTTGCACTACAGCACAGTTTGAAATACTGCTGGTGGAAACCTGTAAAATGCTCAAGCTCCACTGTTCTCATAGAAAAGTATTCCTCAAGACATAAACAACACAAACGATTATATTTATTATATATTCTTTTTTATTATTCATATGAAAATACAAAATTAAGATACATGCAATGGTACTGGCATAAATACAGTAAAATCAACATAAAAATTAATTATATAAAAATACTGGATGAATTAAAACACATGAAAGCTTCCTCTGTGACAACTCCATTAGTTTGGTAAAAATATGCTCGGCACGTCATGTCGAAACAGACAATATTCCACTTAAAAGATATTTCAAAGCAAAGAAACCAAATATACATTGTATCACATATGTATAAAGCTTGGTCAGCACACAAAAACACAGGAGGCAAGATTATAAATGCAGTTATCAGCGGACAGAAATATGCCAATGCAGTGTGGAGTATAATGCATAAAGCAGCATTAGTGATCATAGTGGAATAGTCATTAAAAAAATAAAACACATTAAATTAGTGGTAATAAATGCAATGTAATGAAATGTAGTGGACTAAAGCAGCAGCACAGTAATCAGCCACCTTAGGACAAATAAATGTGTGTACCATAGATTTCGTCTGCTTGACTTCTAACAATAAAACTTCATCCTGCTGAAGTTCTTCCTTAAAAAACCATTCAGGACCGCAATTCCACACTAGCGTACTTTCTCACCACTTTGGCGTTTTGTATGTAGATGTATGTAGTGCTAAAAAATATTTAAAATGTGATTAAAAGGCACAAACAAACATCTTTAGTTGATAATGGACCATACATGTCATAACATTTAAGAAATTAGCAGGCAAAATGTACAAATACGTTGTCGTTTTATTAACACGTTACCTATGCTGACACTGTTGTAAACCCGGCATCTGCATCCATTCAGAGAAGGGCTGATTAGTTTGGTTTGTGCGAGTGTGGTTTGGAACATTAGTGTCATATACCGTGTAAGTACAGCACCTTGGAGCTACACGAAAAGTGCCTGCGCGCGCACACAGAGCAGACAATTCATCACATGTGTATATACTCACACATGATCATATGATGCATGCATGCACATCCACGCACAGATTTAAGACCTGAGAATGCCCCATTAATCATACATGAAATTAATTCATTTAATAAAAAATATACCTTTACTAGATTATGAGGCATTTCATAATGTACAAATGCTTTTAAATGCCTTTCCCCCCATTTCTTTGGAAATATTGGAAATATGTATACAATTTGTATAAGATGCTGAACACTGTAGGGCATAATATAGAGACCAAAGTCAGCTCTGGTTTAACTAATGTTTCTAACTTACATAAAAAAATCAGAACAAAAAAACTTTATTCTTCTCTGAAGACAGTTAAACTGTCCAATATCTGCCCGCAATTTCACATGAGAGCTCTGTAACACAACATGAAGTGTTATCTGTGTAACACAAATGCACATAAGCTTCATCCAGGAGGAAAATAAGGAGCTGATACTTTTGTCTTCAAAACCCACAAAGGACTGCAGCATTAAAAAAACATGAGGCCCGTACATCTGCTTCACTACACCATGAACTGAGTGTATCCCTCAGCGCCTGTGACGATCACATCCATCCAGATCCTCATGGCCTCGGGAGAGGGAGCAACCATGTAGTAGACCCTATCGTGAGTCTTCACGCTGAAGGTCAGGGAGGGGTTTGGGCTCTGAAGGAGGGAGAGAGAATGAATTGTGAATGAAGAAGAAAGAGTTATGATGCACTTTTTGTATCAGCGTTGGAAAATGCATACCTTGTGTGCATTCTTCAAGTGATCGTAGTATACTTCTTCAATAGCTTGGAAGTAAATGACTCCTTTCAACTTGACTTCGTGCTTGTCTGGAGAGAACATACGAGTACATTCAAACTATAAGAAATACAAAACTTTAACACATATGTGTCTGTGATTCTATCTACACACACAGGTTTTTTAATGGTTTTAAATCAGATTTTGCTGAGTGTGGTTGCAAGTGTGTGCTGTCCTTACCTGCGTAGTAGGATAGTGTGCGTCTGTTGCGGTCAAAGACGAACCAGCGTTTCTTCCATGTTTTGATTTTGCCTCCCATCTTGACCAAGTAGCCTCGGCAGGTCTTTTCAGAGATGGACAGGTGGAAGCACGTGTCTAGGCTGTGGCCCGCCGACTCAATGTGAGCCCGCAAGTCAAAATCGTCCTTCCTCACAGGCAGATACCGAGTAAGAGGCCGGGACTTGAGGGAGAGGAATCATTTGAGAATGTAATGACAAAGATGTATTTATAATTTCTTATGAATTCTTTTGTTTTTACCAAATTCCTATAAAACACAAAGATTTACAGAAAGTCATACATTAGGAAACATCAGAGTATTTCTCTCTCTTTGTTCTGCTGCCAACATTTGATGGTCCGGGAAAAAGAACTAAAGATGATAAATGAAGCTTACTATGAGAACTGTCAACACAGACATGATTAAAACCATGCAGAAGGAGGTACTGTAAGTATGTCTGAAATAGGGCTGGGCGATATATCGAGTTTTTTAAAAATATCAATATATCTTCATACGAGATGTAAGATGTGACAATATCGTTTATATTGATATGTTACGTTATAATTATACTTGTGGAGCCGCAAGTTTGCCTCTCTTTCGTCCACTTTTATCTCTACGCAAACTCACTCGGCCTCGCCTCTCCTTCACTGAACAACTCCCCCTCCCCCATAGCTTCACCTGCAGGCAACGACAAGGTGAACACGGCAAATCTCCGTTAACGAGTTACCGCGGATCGCCCCGTGCGTGGGGCTGGTCGGCGTCAATGTGTTAGCGAGCTAACCGCGCTAACGACATGCAGCCCACAGGAGCTGCATGGCCTAAAATCTGACCGTGGTACACGGCGCTCAGCAATCTGTCAAAAAATGTTTTAGTACGACTTTGGTAAGCTACGAAGTTGCACCGCTTGATGGACTGTCGGAGCATTACGGCTACCGTAGTCTGGAGCCTCGCGGAGTGATACGTATTGTGCTTCAACGTAATATTACCGTATTGTGTGTGTATAAGGGCCATAAATGGCACCTGTTAAAAGACACGGTTACAAAGAGGATTTCAAACTCCAGGCTGTCAGTCACGCAGTAGAACTTGGGAACAGAGCAGCTGTGAAATCTGTCTTTGTTATTATGCTCATCGTCTGTTAGTTTACATTTTGACTGCACAATTTTGAGCTTTTGTTATGCACAAAAACAACATTGTTTTCTTTTATTTATGGAGCATGATTATTGAATAAATGCTGATAATTTCTTTTTGAGTAATTGCTTCATGTACATCTATGCTGTATGTTAATAAAAGTGCCTGTGTGACATCTGGGACACAGCTTTGACTAAGAACTGTCTTTTTGTTCTTACCTTATGGCTTTAAAAAATATATATATCGATATATCTTATATCGCCATCCAGCTAAAAATATCGAAATATGAATTTTGGGTCATATCGCCCAGCCCTAGTCTGAAATGTATAAAAGTAAGCTACAGAAACAAGACAGAGTGCACTGTCAAAAGAAGGTAAAAGGTTAGTTCCCTTGAAGTTCATACGTATGTTTTGGATAAAGAACCTCTATTATCCACAGCTCTTCCCAGAGCTCTTACCTGCACCCTCTGCTTTTCTCGAAGCTTCACCTCGCGGTCGATCAGTTTCTGGCGTCTGTTGGTCTCCTCTTGTAACCTTTTCTCCAGATCCTCCCGTCTCCTCCTCTCCTCTTCCAAGGCCTGCTTTCGAAATTCCATTTCCCGCTCCTTAAGAACGATTCAGATGCAGTCACAGGTTATTTAATGACACACACATAAAAAACACAACAATTTTGCAGTTTGGGCAAATGAAGTAGCACCTCTATCTTTAAGGTTTGGAATTATTACAAAGATACTCGACTGATCTGCATGTTGGCTTTAACGCTACATATCTCTCTAACATTAAATAAAATGTGAAAATATGAATAAATCAAATAGTGACCTTGTGTTCGAGGAGGCGGTTCTTCTCGGCCTGCGCCTCTCTCAGCAGGCGCTCCATCTCCTCCAGCTTGGCTACATTTGACGTACTGGCACTACAGCGCAAAAAGCACATACAGCAACAATTATAGAAAATAATGTATCTTTTGCTTTACATCAAACACTTGACACTTATAGAAAAACAAACAAAAAACCCACTTTGGGATTTTCCAAAAATGCAAGGGAGCAGCTCGCGAGTTAATAAAAAAAAACAGTGGGTACACCAACACGCGACATGAGAAAATCAATGAACTTGGACTTTTCTTTGAAATTGTTTGATGAATGTCGGCATTACTATAATCCAATATAGGGCTCCAACTATCGATATTGTTTTAGTACTCGAGTTAATCAAGTAATCGGATTAGAAATACTTATGTCTTATCACTGAGCAATAGTAAATATTCAGTCAGTGAAGAGAAGCTAGCATGTCAGCATAAAAGTGACATTCTTATTGGTATAACTGTTAATAATTAATAATAACAATTAATGCTAGTAATGATTCAGTGTGCAACTTAGCAGTTTTATTTTTTATATTTTTAAATATTATATACAATACCATTTAATAAATAAAACACTTTAATTACTATAAATCTGCAAAGTCATGGTACTAAAGTCTTCAAATAAATATGGCCTAGAACACCCCATGCCCCCCTTTAGACTCACCCCTGCAGTTAACATTGTGATAAAAAGTGGGACGGCTTTAGTAAGCTGCCTAATTTAAACAGTTCATCTACATCTTCTATTGCAGCTGTATTTGTAGTCTCTAGTGTGGGTGAAACGCTCACATAGTCATGGTGACAACTGAGCCCTAAAGAGTTGCGGATTAAAAAAAACATCAAAGTGAAAAACTTGCATCGAGGATTTTTTCATAATGGAGTTGGTCGAGTTGGTCGATGAATGGTTGCAGTGTGTGTACATACATGCATACAACACATGTAGATCTACAGCCAAAAAGAAGAACTCTGTTTAACATTCCAAAGTAAACGCTAAACTGTCCTGAGAATACTGATTATTCACTGCTTGTGTGTGTGTGTGTGTGTGTGTGTGTGTGTGTGTGTGTGTGTCTGTGTGTGTGTGTCTGTGTGTGTCTGTGTGTGTGTGTGCGCGCGCTAAATCAAAGAGGAAATCCATTAAGAAAAGAGGCCGCGTTGCCAAGGCAAACCATCTATATTATCTCTTTAGGTCTTTGAGGCCTTGTCTGATTTAGAGTCTCCCAAACTGCATATGGTCTACACATGACACTCACTCCTGACATCACAGCGAAAGGATCTATTTATGTATTCCTCTGTCACGTCAAGCAGTAATTCTTTTTCTCACACTAATTTTCTTGCCAAGTCTATTTACTCTCACAAATGCACTTCTGGTACCACCGCCGTGCTGACTTACATTCATTTTATGAAACCTTACCCAAGCCCTGAACATAACCTGCTTTACCCTAACCTTAAACCAAGTCTGAGCACTGCATTTTAAATATTTCTGTTATTGGAATTTGCCTTTTTATACTCAGGGGAAGGCCAATTCCCAAAATATGACCGTGTAACCAGATTTAAGCAACATAAGCAATGCACACACACACACACACACACACACACACACACACACCTTCTTATCTGGATCCAGGAGGAAATGAATACCCGGTGTTGATGTCACAACAGTGCTAAGAAGAATGGTGCACATCAGACTGAACTATAAACAAATCAGGAAGCGAGACAGGGTGGAGAAATTTGGAGCAGCCCGAGTGCAGAGAGGACAAAAAAGGAACGGGAGGGAGGGCATGAAAAAAAACTAACAAAAAAAACTAGAACATTTGCAAAAGGGAAAAAACCTCTTTTTTTCCCCCCACTCTGCTATTTTTTCATTGTCTTTTTCATCAGTTTCCAGATGCTTTTTCTCAACAAAACACCAGCAAAGAATCCAAAAACAGTAACAAGTCGAATCATTTTGAAAGAAATTAGAGCGCTTGTTACTATTAAATGAAAAAGTACTTAATTATGAATGAATATCAACATATCACCAAAGTCAAATATGAATTAAACAGTACCACCGATGGCATTTTTCTTACCTCAATCGACGAGAGGTAACTGCACTCATTGTCAATACACACCCGTGCAGTTCCAAATGTATTTATTCGAGTTCTGGACTACTTGGGAAAAAAATTGTTCTAACACTTCTATCTCCCGAAACAGGACTCATCGCTGCAAATTACCAAAAAAAACTCCAGCTCTGTCATAAAACTGATCCACATTCCCCAACGTGACTTCCAGTGCAATATAACCTCATGCAGCCTAATCTGAGCCAAAGCATACTGAGAATAAAAACGCGCAAAACAGAGATGTAACTCTGCAAATGGTTTCAAATCTGCTGGAACGAGACCATACCATTCAGAGAAACAAGAGGAGGGGAGACAAAAGATGTAAAAAGGATTGAGGGAAAGCAGGCACACATGGTTTTACTCCAGTCGGGGGGCTGAACCCCTAAATGGACCTCCACACTCATGCTGGTTTGCTCAGTTAATCTGAACCTGAGGGGCCTGACTGGAAAGGCACCCGCGCACACACCCCTTTATGTTTTCTGTCTTCCGTAAGCTGATCCCTACAACTCTAATCAACAGAGTCCTCCCCCATTAACTCATGCTACACGCTCAGTTCTACACATCCTATTCTCCAAGGAGGGAACATGAAAGGCAGGAAACTCCTTTTTTATTTAATTTTTTGCTAGCAAGCCCTCCCCACTTCATCCAACTTTCTGTCCCATTTCAACTTATTCTAAAGACGTCTTTAACAGTTATTTTCATCAGCGCATACACACTGCTGACAGGCCTTTGTGTCACCTACCTGGAGATGTTGTCAGGTGAGCAAGCAGAGATGCTGGTTTCAATAGAGTCACTACTATCCACACTCATTGTATCAAAGGCCTGGTTTTCACGGTACCCAAAGGCATCGAGGTAGACGTTGGTCTGAGAAGCAGCTCGGGAGCTCGGCTGACCTGGATACACACAAACGCAATGAAGACGAAAAAGGATGAATTCTCCAGTAGCAACCAAGGTTACTTACTCCTCCTGCCCACGCATCAACCCAAGTCTTCTACCTGTCGGTGTAACTTCTTCTGGGACAGACTGCCCAGACGGGTTCAAATTTTGATTACAATGCCCCGCCACCGTTACACTGTGTACTCACACGTCCCGGGAAAAAATATATCCAGGCCTTAATGCTGCGATTAGGTGAAACTGCGGCCTAACAGTAAGACACTCAAGCACACAAAATAAATGGAAAATAAAGAGGAAAAAATATTTTCTGTAAAACAAGCACAGAAACAGCTTTTGAGATTTAAAAATGAATAAAAACAGCAGCCTGAAACTGTCCAAAGACTTCTGGAAAGACAAAAAGATATTCTCAAGAAGCTGACGGATGAATGATGACAGATCTACAGTGCGGACACTTTAAAGAGAGACTAACTAAACCTCCTGGTACAGGAAGAAACACACACACACACAAAAACTGATACCATCAGCTCTGTTTACTAGACCCACCCATCAGATGAGCCAGATCAGGGGACTAAAGGGGCCAAGGCATCAGATACACGTGCCAGTTCCCAGAAAACAACGACAGTACACTTATAACATGAGACACACAGTACTTCAAAATGATCCCCCAAAATGCTGATTTGTTGTCTGAAGGGCAATGAAAATTTTATTTTATGAAAGACTAAACTACTTATTCTTATGTCTAAGTAGGTGCAAATCTAAATTTAATTTATAATAGCGATGCCTATGCAAAAGGTTGCTATGGAGAGGAGGCATGGTGTCCTTCAGGTGGCATCCTGTATCTTTCTGGGCCAAACAGCAAACATCCACACAGACTGCAAACGCTTTACACTCTTGTGTGTCATATTTTCTTAACAGTGAAGACGTTACAACAGCTCGTGTAAATCCCCACGAAGTGATGGAACGCTCACATTCCTCCACTGACAGATAAGCAAATGTGGAATTTATCAAAACACAATGAGGTGCACACCCACAAACAAAGCCTCTTGCTGGGATATTGTCTCCATATAAGGTGCATTTTCAAATCCCAGCTCAGCAATGAGTGTGGTTTTGTGTGTTTGTGTGATACACGAGAGAAAAAAAAGAGAGTAAGATCAAGTGAAGTTAAGTGTATTTGTGTGTGTGTGTTTTACCTTTATGCAGACGTCGAGATTCACTTTCCTTATTGGATAAACTGAGGATTCTTGGAAGAATACTGCCACAACTTGTAGTCTGTACCAGAGGCTGATGGGACTATAAAGAATCAAGAAGACGGAGAAGAAATGGTTGCTTCATATTCTATTTAAAATAAACACTATAACTCAAAGACCAAGTGGTGAAGCCGAAAAGTGATACACAGACCAAGCCTGACATTTAGTGGTAAATTTGTAAACCAATCATTTCCACCATAGTTTTCGTAAAAAAAAACGTTGTTTTCTGATGAGATCGAGACGATAACTAAACAAAAACTAATGCACAAGGACAAAAACTATGATGAAACATACTGACACATTTGTCAGTGAATAAAATGAGATCCAATCAGAACTAATTAAGCTGCGCAGAAAGGCGGGACGAGTTTGGAAGTGATCCAGGTTAGACGTGCACATCACAAATAGCTCCCATGCTCCCTATTTCTCATGAAAACGTGACAAAATGTCAGCGCTTTGGAGGAAGAGAAGAGCAGACATATGAACACATCTCGCATTTGATGTCAAGGAAAATAAGATGCTCTGTGAACTCCCATTTGTAAAAACACCACAAACTTTCACACTAAATCAATTTTAGATTTAATCTAATATAATCTAATCATATTTAGTCGGAAGTTGCTGTCACTTTTTTTTTTTTTTTTTTTACATGCACAATCATCTCTGTTTGTACCTTTGTGGGGAAGCTGCGCCCGAGTGTTGCACACATAAACTGGGGGTTCATGGCGGTCGCGGTTTTCTTCCAGGGTAATGTATCACTTAGATGTGAGCCACTTTCTTTCTCAGACCTCTTCCTCCCCTCCAGCAGACGGAAATGCTGATGAGACACACACACACACACAGAACACATGAACACAATTACCAAAAATTAAAATTATTCATTTCACTTTCAGTCATATATCAATGTCCCCATACTTTAAGTGTAACGTAAAGTCTTGGTGTGTAGGATTTAAAATGTCTTACTCTGGCGCCATCTGCTGGAGGATCAATAAGTCACAGTGGCAGAAGTGCATTCTCCCTTTCTTAACCCACATTCAATAATTTTACTCTTTAGACAGACGGATCTAGTTTCAATGTAATATGCATGTGATATAAAAAATAAACACACAGTTGTTTACACACCAACGCACACACAGTCGTGTTTTCATGTTTGTGGGGACATCTAATTGACATTATGTTTTCCCTTGCCGCTTCCCTAACCTTAACCATCAAAAATGAATGCCTAACCTTAACTCTTACCCTAAACTGAAACATAACCTAATTGTAACCTTGACACTAAAAACACATTTTGGGTGAGGACATGCATTTTGTCCGCATAATGGCTGGGAGTCCCCACAAGTATAGGAGCATGCCAATTTTTGGTCCCCACAAAGATATGTAAATATGGTATACATATACACACACACACACATTACCTGCCTGTGTTGCTGATGGCGCTTTTTGACAGGAAGGGGAGGTGGGGGGGAGTCTGGGAGAGGGGAAGGGTCTCGATATGTCACCATGTTCTCTGGCCAGTGCACAGAGGGTGTTTTTGGGAGGAGGCGGGGATTTAGACGGGAGGAAGAAGAAGGAGAGGAGGAAGAGGAGTGACAGTCGGCAGGTGAGGAAGAACGACAGAGCTTCGGAAAAAGAAAGGAACACTGTCAGAAAGCTGAAATGAGCGCAGAAACAGGAAGACAAGCTGGGGGAGAGAACCAGCCGCACACTTTGCACCATCCGCCTCGGCGTACTTATCTACACACGATAAACCCGTCACACCACTACACACACCTCATCCTCCGCTGGTTTGGGGGTGTCCTCATCAGGGGAAAGGGTTGACTCGGGCTCAGGAGAGGCTTTGGTCAGAGTGGGGACAGGAGCAACTTTAGGGTCTTGCCCAAGCTGTGAGTAAAGCTCATTGATTTCACTGACTGTGACATAGCCCTGCAAGGTGTCATGTGGAGAGAGAAGGGGTGAGGCATAGCGGGAAGTGAGTTAGCCGTGGAAATTAGTTGTTAGAACAATGCAAAAATTTAGTGGCAATTTCAGAAATAAGTTATTTACACACAACACTGTTAACACGAGACAAAGGACACACTAACAAGATTATGTCAGCATTAATATACAGTACGTGGACGTAAAAAAATAAGCTTCATCTCAAATTTCTGGAACTTCTAGTAGTGCTTTACAAGAGCTAGCAGTTAGAACAAGAGGCTACAGTGGCAAAACAAAGAAGACTGGGAATAAAGAGAAAAAATGGAAACCAAAAATAAAGTGGAACACAAAAGGGGAAATATTAGCTCAGAAAGGCAAAGTACCTCTGCGTTCTTGAGAAAAATAGAAGAAAGGAGGGAGCGACACACATCAGCCAAAGAGGCTGAATCCTAGCAAGCGGAAAAGGAAATCATAGCCATTAAAATCAGGATATCGCCCGTTCCAGGACTCGTAAGTAACCACAGCAGCCGCCAATCACACCAACCTCTCTCAGGGTGAAACTCCGTCCACCGGTGAGGCCAGCGTATTTTCTTTCCAGCACAGCCAGGCTTTCTTTCTCCTGGCAGACAGATACAGACACAAAAATGAACTTTTCCCATCATTAATACAGAGCACAGCACGCACATGCGAACATAAAATCTGCCATACTCTCTGCAGCATGGACTCAAGGTTGCTCCTCTCCTTCAAGAAGCTCTCCTTCTCTCGTTGAACCTGCTGCGTAATCTGCGCCGACTGCTTCTTCAGAGTTAACAGACGCTCCTGCGAGAGGGAGAGCGGAACAAACTTATCAAGCGCCTCTAGCCTGCTTAGAAAGTATGAATCAAACATTCCTGTTAAAACTGCAAATCTAAACAAATTGACATTTAAAGAGCAAATTCAGCTTCAAACGGCAGATTAAACAGGCTGGATTTTTAAATCAAAAACAACCGAGAAGAGAGCTGATACCTTGCGGGTGACGGTGCTGCGTTGGTAGTCTGCGATCTCCCGGAGAAGCTGCTGGGTGTGGGTCTCCTTCTCCTCGTCCTGCCTGCTCTCTCTCTCGAGCTGCTGAAACTCCAGGTCCTCAAAACGCTTTGTCTCTGCCTCAAGCACTTCGCAGTCCTGATACACACAATGAAATAGATAATACAAGTGTACACTACTGCTCACAAATTTTTAGTTGTCACTGGGAGTAACTGTAAGATTTCTGAAGTCAAAGCAGCACAGTACCCTGTGCAGTACAGCTTAAACCTGCTTGATACAGACCGCTGTGGTGGGCTTTAATTATCTGAAGATCTAGGGCTGGTACCTTAGGATCACATGACCAAGCAGTCAGTCTTCCTTTGCTACTGATGTTTTTATTCTTTTTTTATTTATTTTTTGAGTACAGCAATGTACTGTAGCACATCCTGCAGTCTGGCATTGCCCTAATAATGGCCTGAAAGTAACACAGGCATAATAGGTGGTAATCTGCATAAATGTAGTAATATGGGTTGTCTTTCATGGCTAAACTTACTTCCAAAGCTGATGCTGCGCTCTCCTAAACTTAAAACAAACCCTTTCACTAAACTTGAACTCCGTAAATTGCAATAAAAAACAAGAAAAATTCCACTAATCCAAAACTTTGCATGCTTTTGTAGCCACCACATTAGAGAAAGAACATCAAGTATACGTGCAAGTGTCCATAAAAGAAACCTTCTCACATAAAAACCTGCATCTACTAACATTAGCAAAGAAATGCCAACATACTCAAATACGACAAATAATCGTTTATCAAATACGTCTCATTCCATAACATACGTAGACACGAGTGCAAACCAGACTGTGAAATCTCTAATGTGTGTGTCATCAACACTAAACATGCAACAACACATCACTACCGTTTGGCTAAACATGCAGCCTTTCACACACCATAAGCATTCGCCCCAAAGTGAAGATGATTTAAATGTGCCGCCTCTTTGATAAGTCGTTTCAAAGAACAGTCGCTCATCAAACACAAAAGGTGAAGCCTTTAGACATTACACCCAACAGAGTCAGTCTGTAAGAACCAAACAGGTACCAAAGCCTGACACTTTAGAGATGATATAAAACATAAAGAGGGAATGATTGAGAATGAACGTTAGCTCTGAAAGTGTGCCATGCTCTCATGCAAGTAAGCAAACATTATATAAACGAGTCTGTCATGTGAACAAATGTTTAGAGTCAGTGCTAGTATTTGCCGATACAGCGGTCACATTTATGTTGAATACTTTCTCGAATATGCATGATTTCCATTGGCTCTTCCACTATATTTTTCTAAATATATGTATGTGCGTGTGTTTGTGTGCATATGTGTGTGTGTTTGTGTGTACTGACCCTGGCTAGCTGCTCCTGCAGGGGCTCCTTGGTGGCTTCAGGACAGCTGTCCAGCTGGGAGCGCTGCTCACACACAATCTGAGCCAACCTCTCTACTCTGCCCTTTTCTGCCTGCAGCAGCTTGCACGCCTGGCAGGCAAACGTACGTACACACAGATGCACACACGCATTCCCACACGAGGACGTACACCATGTACATGTTTGTTTATGTGTACATATAGACACAAAAAGACGAACACACACACATACACACACACACACACACAAAGGACAGAGAGGATGGCAGAGTTAGTGGGGATTGGGGAGCAACAGTTAGTTACTACAGCGACCAGGTCAGTACGGATAGCCTAGTGGGTGGGGAGGGAGGGAAAGCTGGAGGGAGCGCAATGGAAAACTGATTAATGATGTTATGAGACTTCACTTCTGCCGTTTTATTCGTTTTTTTATGAATGCAAATGATTGAAATGATTAAGTAAGAAGAGAGAACGGGCATGTATGGAATGGCGCAGCAGAGGTTAACTATCACACAGATGGCTCTTTCTATAAAATACACAAAACACACATTCACCTAGAATCTGTGCAAGCACTCAACTTCATCTGCTCTTCAACCAGTTTTTAACACCCGGGGCTACACGCATCTACCCGATCGCTCGCTTTTCTTTCCCTAACGTCTTCCGCTGGCAGATGCCGGTGCATGGAAATTTCAGAGTGAGTCCAGGACTCAGTCGAACACAGGCCAAACCAAAGCACGCGCACACACACGGATACACACCAGAAATACCGTCCATTTATCCGCTTACACCTCCCACTCTGTCAATAATATCATATGGTGTTATAAATGTAGAAAAAATATAGGCACACTTGCTTCCCTACACTTGCCAAACAGGATCACTTGATGACCGCTACTCCCCGGACAGTCTTAGCAGATATATATTTGGACCAGAGAGAGCATGAGAAGGATTAACACCTACCGCCCGGGTCTCTCAGTTGCCTATGTATTTTTAATGCCATTCAATGCATGTTGCTAGTAAAAACATAGGCTGTATGAGTGAATGGAGATGGCTTTTCAAACACCTAAAAGAATTTTTCCATATGTTAATGTGTATTTCTCCCCCCTTTTGATGACCATATGTATTCAAAGGCAAAGTTAAGCATATTCAAAGGGACCTCTAACTTTTAACCCAGCTGGATTACAGATGATAAAGAGGTCTGTAAGCATCCCATTCTGAGTGTATCAACTTGAATACCTTTTCTTTTTCCTGCTGGGATTGGGTCTCTAGGTGAGCCATCTTGTTGTGAAGCGCTTCTAAAGCATCTTTTTCGTGTTGAAGAGCTGCTATCTCGGACTCCTGCTCAGCTTCAACTAGAGCTCGCTCAACCTCGACCTTTAAAAAAAAAAAAAAAACACGCGCACACACCGCTCAGTTTTAAACCAATACTTTATATCTGTGCTTTTATCTAAACATTCTCATTCATCTTCTGTTAATCTTGACAATAAATCAATCAATAAATAAAGTAAATATCATCATCGTCTACATACCTCTCGGGCAGATTCCTCAATTTGATTGTCCAGCTCTTTGATCTTTTGTTCAAGCTCCTCCATGTTGTTCAGGACCTGGATTCTCTCCTCTTCCACGCGCCTCACTTCCTCCTCTGAAGGGATCGTGTCCTGTCCACGATGGCGAGCTGCATCCTCTAGAGCCTGGTAACATCATCATCAATGTAGTCGCTGATTTAACTCCTGCTAACATGCACTTACATTGACATATCTGCGAGACCTGTAATAATAATCACTGATGCCACAAATGGAAAGGAAAGCGTATGGGCTCCATACATACACACAAATGCCTGCTGTCAGTTCCAAATGCTAACACTTAGCCTGCTCTAATCTAATAAATGGACTGTAAATATCTCCCATCTGTGCTTGAGTAGGATGTTTGTGTCAATACTTTCTAAGTATTAGGAGGAGGGATCCTTGTCACTGTTATGTTTTCCAGGATGAATGGGGGGGCTAAACACTTCCTGCTAAATCTTGATTAATATTTTAGTAAGATGACCAAGGTCAAAGGTGCACGAAGAAGAAAAAACATACATCTATCATTTTACCAAATCAACAGAGACTAATGTTACAGAATATTCTCTTGCATGAAGTCTTCAGAGTGACTAAAGTCTGTAGACCATCAAGGCATTGCATATTTCACTGTATTTATTTTATACTACCGGAATATTTTTTTAAATTTATGTTTTCTCCTACTTTTTTGAATGAGGGTCAAAAGTTATATGATTCTACTGAACAAACACGGTTCTGTAGACTAGTTCATCTTATACACCAAATAACATTTGTTTTTGCTCTTGATAACACCTCAGTGATACTGCACTCACACACGGAGGGCATTTCTGTGTTAGCATAAAGTTCTAACAGTCACAAAATAAGTGTCCTGTCTCTTATACCTCATTTGTCCTATGTGCACGTGGTGAAGGTGTGGGGGCAAAGCTTCGCAGACTGATAGCAGGCGATTCGGCCCTGTTGTCTCGGTGACCGCTGCTACGCCTCCGTCGTACCTGCAGGTCATCATCATAGTAACCATTCTCCGATCCAGGGGAGGTCGTGTGCCCGTTTCCGACTATTCCACTAACAGCTGAAGAGTCGGAAAAGACAGAAGGCGTGTCATCATCTTCGTCGGTCAGCTGCAGCTTCTCAAGCTCCTGGTTGATCTTCTGCAGGTCTGCAACAGCTGAAGTGGAGCTGGTGGCTGCGGCGCCTCCGTCCCTTTCAGCTCGGCCCAGCTCAGAGCAAAGAGACAAGATGGTCTCTAGCCGCTGTCGCTCCTGAGATGATGGCAAACATAAAGGCACACACGTGTATGGGTTATGTGCATGCAATGGCAAATACTATTTAAGATCATGTTTTTAATGTTGACATGTTGCTGAAGTTTTACACAAATACAATGCAACCCTATAGTATTGAGCTTAGTCAAGTTTTAAATAATAGTATTACCTCGGGAAGCATCACAGAAGTCAGTCCTTCTAAAACTTTTTCCGTTTAGTCCAAAATAAAGAAAAGTAGCGTTTACTTAGTATTCAGCATGACCCTCTCCTGTATGTGGATCTAATTTGGTCTAATATTTGCAGATTTTAGAAGAAACATTTCTTCTCACTGAGAATCCCTGGAGTGAGCACTTCTCCCTGCCAGTGCATAGCTATATGTGGGGCACTACGGAGGCTGCAGAGAGTCAAAAATGCCCTCATGCAGGTTCAGCAGTTACTTCTCTCAAGGGTTACGTATATGAGCCCCACAGCCAGCCTGTGTTAGTAATATTAGATACAGAGAGGGGGGGGAAATGGACAGAGGCGTGTGTGTGTGAGTGATAGAGAGAAAGAGTGAGCTAATGAGAAGGTGGTCAGCTGTCAACCATGGTCATAAGTGTGCACAAGAACCGGCTTTGACTCCAAAGTAGGAATGTGTCTATGAATGTCACCATGGAAACAAGATGCTTTCCAGGGGATTCTTCACAAGGAGAGAATCGGATCCAGGTGACATTTGGATTGTGAAAATCATGAAATAGTTAACTGTGTGTTTAGGAAAAGCACGAAACACTCACTTTATAGTGCTTCTTAGTTAAACAGTTATGTCAGAATCCACATATAACAAAGCATCGAACACATTTTACCATGCACACATACAAACCCCAATTATAACACGTAACATGAACCAGGAGCTGGCACAAAACGTGTCCGTGTCAGTTTGTCACCTTGCGCTATTCTAATGGGCATAAGCTTCTGTGGAGCCTCTATAGTAATCAGCTGTCAACTAGAGCAAGAGACAGAAAGAAGAAGAGAGGACAAAGACACGGACATATGAGAGGAAAGCTGGAGAAAGCACGAAAATGAAAGACGGTGAAAGAAGCGAAAGACAGGAAACGAGCTGGGAAATTTTTGGACAACACGCCTTGCTTTAAATTCATTTTTAAAAGGTTTGTGTGCCTTTAATTAACACAGACATTAATTTCAGCTTTCTTTTTTAGCAGTCTCTTGTTTCAGAATTCTATTTTCTAAAGATACCACTAGGGGGCAGACAAATACAAGACAATAAGGCTAGACTGAAACGCTACAAATGCTGCTACATCTCACCTTTAGTCATCTGATTAAAGTAGAGATGCACGTGATTATAACTCCCTGTATAATGTGGATCATCGATGATATTTAACACCAGGGCACGCACTAAAACAGGCAGTAGAAATAGTTTCAACCCAATTAAGTGCAACACTGCAACACAATTCATTCCCCCATCTTCAAACCGGCAAAAGAGAAAATCTTCACATCATGAAAGCTCAAAACCACGCTCATAAGAATTTGGAGGCTTGTCAAAAGCCACCGTCAAAGTGTTCTTTAAATCAGAGATACTGAGACACTTTAATTGTGAGAACATGGCTGAGAGAAACAGAGAAATACAAAGAGAGGGATCACGAGATCGGTTGTCATTATATGTTGATAATATGTGTTTATCCACCTGCTACACTATAACTCTGTAATCTTCTTGGTTTCTCTTACCCACATCTGACTGATGTGTTCTGTGGCTCCTTAGCACAGCAAACCACACTGGGTGGACCTCCAGATGACTGACATAAACATGAACCTCATATGAACACATATACACACACACACAATCCAAGTACAGGGTTAAGAATAGTGCTGTTAGTATGGGCTAACTGCCATGAGCACCTGTCAAGTGGTGAACCTCACTGTGCGCCTGTGTTAAGCTCCCTGGGAGAGTATGTTTGAGAGCGCAAGGAGCAGGGAAGCATTCCTACACTCGTTCCATGTTTGGTGTCTTTGTATGCGTGCACAAAATAACATTAAACCTTAAACACCCTGCTCTCCTGCCTATATTCAGTCTATCTGAATAAGCTTAGCTGGAGGATGCACTCTATGATGATAAGTAAAAAAAAAAGCAAATACTAAATGGCACAGTAAAAACAGCAGCTACAATGCTTTAAATACAGAAGCTAAAAGCAATTAAACTCACCAGTCTCTCCACCTCCTGCTCACGGAGTCTCTCCTCTTTTTGGCGTTGGTGGTAGTCTGTCAGTTCTTCCTTCCCACTTAGGGAGCTGATACTCCCCCTTCTTTCCCTGAACCCCCCTGGCGGGGTCACCCCTGCTTTGCCAAATGACTGCCTCCTCTCCCCCAGACCAATTCCAGTTTCCAGGCCGGCCTTCCCAAATGAAGAACTCCTCTCTCTAAGTCCTAGTCCCGGTGCAACGGTGAGTTCAAGGCCCACTCCTGGTGTTTCTTGCTCCGCCACAGACATTTCTGCTCCTGAGGAGGCGTCATTGCTGCTTAGCCGTTCTTGCTCTGGAGGGCTCGAAGCTATAGAGCTGATGGAGCCTATTGAGCTGGTGGAGGTTAGGCTGAGTTTTTTGGCAACACGAGGAGAAGAGGAGCCCCCTGCCCTGGATGGGATTGTTACATCTGGTGGAGTGGATGTGGATGTGGAAGAGATGGAGTGGGAGGTGGAGCAGGAGGAGGTCCTAGGGGAAGAGAGGGAGATCGACACGACACCTTCCCCTTGAGCTGTGGTCTGGCCTTTAATCCTGTTTGCAGCTTGCTGACTGGAGTGACTAGACTTGTGGTTGAGGTCAGCGTTTTGGCCGTTGCTGTAATGCTCTTTGCTAAATTTGTAATCCCCAGCAGTATCAGACCGCCGTGGAGGCAGCGTTGACAAAGTTAGCACTCCATTATTATTGTCACGGGGGGACGGGGAGGGACAGAGGCGTGGCAGTGAGCGGCTGTGTCCTCCTGCTGTCATCCCACTCAGCGAACCTGCTGAGTATTTCCTGGTTCGACTAGTGGGCGTCGGCTCCTGGTTCCCCTGGTTCCCATAGGTGCGGCGTCCTAGACGGGGGCTAGAGGGCATGCTGGCAGCGCCCCCAGAAGATGGAGTGCGGGATGAGGAAGAAGATGGAGGAAGAGAGAGGAGATAGTTCTCACTACTGGCAACAGAAGTGGAAGATCCCCCACCATTCCAGGTGGAGAGTAAAGGAGAGGAGCTCTGACTGTGCAGTCGTCGGCTATCGCTGGTGCTAAAATTGTCCTGACTGCGGCCAACTGAAGAGCGTGAGGCCAAAGAAGAAGAAGAAGGGTCGGAACGTCGCCCGGGGGAAAGAGGGGGAGCAGATTTTAAGGACAAAGAAGGACGATCGGAGCTATAGAAACGCCTTGCCTGTTCCTGATAGGCTGATGAAGATGTGGCAGGACTGGAGACAGGTGTGGTGGGGGGAGACTGGGAGACAGAAAAGAAAAAAATGTATGATTAGAAATATATAAGAATTCAGTTCTCCTGTGGAAGCTATAGACAGAAACAAATGAAGAAATGGAAATACACAAATATGATCATTTTGAGGCTTTATTAGATTCAAGTGTTTACAGTGTAATATAAATTACAGAAACACTGATATTGATGTATGTGTTGATGAATATGTGCAGAATTGTGTTTGGAGAACACAATGCAGAATGCAACGATGTAACAACTGGTTCGTGTAATGAGTGAATATCAGTTAGAATCATTCACAACCCCTGTTAAAGTGCCCTGAGAGGTAATGTTGGAGCTAAAGGATGACCAACCTGTGTCACACTGAAGTAGGAGGGGTTGGCATTCCCGTTGGCTCTCAGGCTGTTTTCCAGGGCAATTTTCTTACGCTGCAGGGTGTCCATCAAGTCCCGAAGCTCAGATGCTGATCGCATGCCCCTAGCACTACTGGTGCCACCCACAACTGCATGGCTATAGTCACTGCTAAACTTCAGGTAGTCTGGACGGGGAGAGAGATTAAATGGAAAAGAAAATGAATCTATAACATGGGAAAGCTAGGTTAAACATAAACATAAGCTATCGAACGACTAGATAGAAAAGTAGATACAGAAAGAGGAAAGAGAAACAGGGAGAACAAATATGGAAATTATGTGTGAAGAGCCAGGTGAAGACAGAGGAAGGAAAGAGGGAGTGGCGAATGAAAATAAAGAGCGAGAGCGAGAGAGAGAGGGAGAGATTTATGTATAGTTAAACCTGCAGCTATTCATAAATGGGACCCTTGGCAGAACAAACTCAAACCAAACAATCCACAACTAACCCTATCCCTGAGAATAGGAAACAATCCTGTCCCACACACACACACACAAACTGCATGCAAATACACATTCACACAAAACCATCCATTAGATCCAAGACAAACAGTTTAACTCGAGTTCAGTTCCTCAGTATAGGATTTTGTAGATGAGATAAACCACAAAATATTCTGGAATACCCTCATGAGGCTCCCCCCGCCCTTCCTTAAGTCTTTTATTTAAAGTAGCTTCAGCAGTGAGGAGGTCTTTTTTTCTCAAAACCTCAGCTGAGTCAATTTTTACTTCCTTCCTGCTGGATTTACAAATAAACTATCATTTTCTTTCAATAGCATAGCTAAGATTGGCAGCAATGCTAAGTATAAGTAAGTCTGCCTGATAGCTCCGGTACTATTTTGGTGCAAAATTCCAAAAAGAAAACAGTAAATATCTTCTGAAAAAAGCCAAGCAGGTGAAAACACTTAGGGTAAAGTAATGTGCTCAAACCTTGCCCAGTTTTCAAAATTATCTGTGGCTTTATGTGGAAAAGGAGCTATTACAATGTTCAAACTTAGACCACCCAGTGTTTAACAACCACATACACCCACACACACATATATACACTTTCATGCAACTGTGGCTCCGCCTGTATGTTCCATGTGTAAAAGAAAGCGAGAACCTGGAGCACCTAAAAGTGCATAGACAGATTATAGATGAATATAAGCCTGTGTGAGAAAATGTCAAACCCTTACATGGTGGAGTGAACTGAGGCAGAAGGTGAAAGACATCATAAGATCTAGAAAAATGCAGGCATGCTCACACACACACACAGGGTGTTTGTGTCCATACATGGGCAGATTTACACCGGAGGGCTGGTGTGCATCAACTCTCTCCTTTCATGATTGTTCTGCTCCAACATATTCAGTTGTGTTTGTGTGGGAGCCTTGTCTTTAGTTGGACGTCTTTAAAATAAGGGTTGGTGACGGTGAAGAATCTCTCTGCCCATAATAATAATCTTTCCTAACACACGTGCGTGAAGCTGTGGAAGAAATAAGCACCTTCTGCCTGTTTAAAGAGCGGGATTTCCACTGAATACAGCAGCCTCGAGCACTCGATAAATCGCCTAAGAGACAGCAGAGTCCAGATGTATCGCCGTGGCAATGGACAGACACCATACAACCAAAACATTCCAATATGCTTTGAATTTTAGGTTTTGGAATGTGCGTGAAAGTGCATTTGGGAAAGACATATGAGAAGACTGAGAGAAACACCTGCCCCCACCCTAACACTGACTCTTTCCTCCCACCACTTTCAGGCAGCAGCCATGGTTAATGTGCACAGAAAAGTTGAGCTCACATGCATTCTCCGCTTTTCCCCCCCTGCCAGTCAGTTAGATGACATCCAATCTTTGAACCTGAATTTATTTACATTCTTTATGGTTCAACCAGGTCGTTAAATTGGGTCAGTGTGGTCCTCCATTTGGATGTAACCCATCTGGAGTGTGACTATCTGTAACTCCATACTGACATAACAGTGAAGTGACTAGTGAGAAGAGCAGCAGATGTTACATCAGCAGCTGGATCTAATGGAGCACTGAAGATGGCAAAGAAGTGAAAAGCCAGTAAAGTAATAATCAAAAAGGCCTACATGTATATTCTGGAATGGCAAAATTAAGACACAGAGGAGACAAACCAAAGAGGGATCAAGCACAGCTCAGGGTCAGCCCCTTGTGTGATGTACCTGTGTTGTAGGCTAAAGCCGATACAGGACTCTTTTGGGGAAGCATGCTCTTCATTCTGCTGGCTTCCTCAGGATGGTTGAACCGGAACAAATAGGATTTTCCCAGACACAAAGAATAACCTGAAAGGGAAAACACAAACACACGTCTCAAATTACTGAGACAAATGATGCAAAATCTGCAGGTAACCAGGTAACATGTGAAGCTAGTGTGATACAGAATACACAATTACAACATCCACATTACAGCGCATATGTGAAGAGGTAAGTCTTAAGTAGATTCATGTGAGCCTGGGTGTTTATTCACAGCTAGACACACTTGCGCACGCGCAGCAGACGACTGTGTTTGCCCTGGCCATCAATTAGCCTGAGAGGGCCGGGTATTAAACAAGATCTCAGGGTCACAACCTCTGTAATACACACAGGCAGCCACAGCTGTCCAAATACTTGAGATGGCAACAGAGAGGAAGAGCGGCGCTGACACAGATACAGGAGGTCTTGTGTGGGAAAAACAGAGAAAAAGGATAAAAGAATAAAAACACTGAACTGACGCACTTTTTGAGCCAAGGAGGAAAGAAATGCTGAGGGCCAGCTTTCTTAAATCAACAGGTCAATGCGGGTCTTTCTTCTACTTCCATTGTCGAAAAGCCCTGTTACAGTAAAACCCCCATAACGTTATGTGTAAGAGGCTAAAAAAGCACCTCCTTAATAGCTCCATTTCAGTTACATCAGATTCTTTGGACCTGAAGTCAGACGTAACCACTGAGGCAAGAGGAGGGGGGTGTGGAAAAAGGCTGAATGGAAAAAATCCAGATTGTTTTCATCCTCTCTTTTTCTCTCGTTCTCATTTCATTTTTTGTTGCCTTTTCTTTCTCACACTTATGTCAAGTCTCATAAACATCTCAGGCAGAAAAGCTGTGTTAATACCCGAATTGAGCATTACAGTTGAAATGAAAGAGGTCGAGCCAGTCTAGATATTACCTTAGAGCATTTCAAAAGCAGTCCCCCCCCCCTCAATACACCCAGTTCTCAGCATAGTGGGGAGATCCGATTGCAGCTGTGATGTGAAGTGGGCAACACAGACACACACACACCCAAAAACTGTGTAATAAATGTTTAGTCTGCACAGCTGGACTGTGAAGCTCTCAAATCCATACTTATATAAACATGAGCTTGCAGGTTTGGCCACAACCTGTGAGGAAGTGGGATCATGACCGATAAAAGATGTAGGGCCTCCGTGAAGAAACCGAGAGCAACACACACACACAGACAAACGTCACTGTGTCAGCGAGTATGAGTAAGAGCTAATAATAAGCGCTTCTCCTTGCCAGACGTGAGTAAAGGTGTAAATCTTCAAAACGTCTATCTATCTGTGTGTGTTGGAACATGCCTTGTAACAGGGTCTGCCTAATGAATCCCAGTACCTCTCAGTATTTAGCGTAACGGCAAACACAGACATGGGCTCACAAACAAACACACACACACAGCAGTCAGCGCTTGTAAAAATCTAATTTCCTACCCTCAATAGCCACTTTTAAAGTGTATGGTAACGTGTGACGTCTTGATTTGTTAACAAGCCCCGACCCTCCTGTCTTTCTAATTTCCTCTCATGTCCTTAGCTAGCAAGTAACTCTTAATTATTCTCTCCTCATTTCGACCCCCAGCATAAACAAATAGCTATGAAGATACGAGTCTACGCAACAAGGGCAAACAAACTCCATGTGAAAAAAAATTAACATCTAAATTTATCTGTGATACAAGTCTGCTGTCTTTAATAACTTCGGTGGGGGGGTGCACTATCGACAGAGACACCATCCACAACAAAAACTGCTCTAATCTCATTCACGTGTTCACTTGCTTACCAGCAAATTAAGTTTGCCCCCCCCTTCCCCCCAATGCATGCACTCTTCCCCGCGCACACACATATGAGCAGACCCTTTCCAACAACAACAAAAGCTGAAATTAGCCTGTATATACATTTATGGGATAATTTAAAGTTTGCAATCTACAAAGTCAGACCTCAGAGTCTTTGAGGACGCAGATGGAGCCTGAGCTGTACGCCTGGAGCCAATTTCTGTCCCCATGTAGATCTGCGCTCTCTCGCCACAATGTTATGGGAGGAGAAACTTAAATCTGCTTCTCTGTTTGGTTAACATCAGAGGCGGAATTGCCAATTTGAGACCATTAGGCTACAAGGAAAAATAAACCAATTTCAAAGGTGCAAACACATGCCCGGGTGAAACCCAGCTACTTGATCAGGTGTGACATCCATGGCAATCATACCCAACAATGGTGATGCAAGGTCAACTACAACTATCCCCAAATTTGAAAGATATTAGACAAATGCTATCTTGGTTATGATCCCTAGAATATGCACGGTGTTGACATTAAATCTCAGGCTGAATGTATTCACTCATGAAATGAATACACACACAAACAGGTCCCAGTGGGAGAGGAAATTGTCCTCAAAACCACAAATTAACCCTCTCCCAGGCACAAGGGCATAGTGGTAACACCATGAAAAGACAGACTGGTGTTTCTCAGGAGAGTCAGAGCAGATTAGTCATTCCGTCTCTCACATGCTCACACTCACAGGCCTAATGTGTCTCCTCACAAACTCAGGATTGCCTTCTGTCTGCTCTATCTCAAATCTTATTAACAAATAATCAACTTCCCTCAAGCAAAGAATGCAGACCTGTGAATAACCTCTTAACAGCCCTCTAATTAACTGTATTTCTCACCAAGTATTTAAAGAAAAGAATAAAGCGAACAAAAAAAGATACATTTCATCCATTTTATGGTGTAAAACTGGAAAAAGCAAAATCCAAATGTTCTGGGGGTGGGCAGGCAGAAAGATTTGTGAGGATAATAACATCCGTGACAAAGAGGGAGGTTTTATTTTCAGGTGTCAGGTATCCTGACCACTGAGTCTGCCTTTCTATCCATGAGCTACATTACATCTGCACTGGCGCATGCACGTGAACTCACCAGCTAACTTATAACCACGAGACAGGCACACAAAGTTCATTTATATTAAAAAGATGCAGACAAGAAGCTGTGATGGAACACTGCCAGAATCTGGCTAAAAATAAGAAAACGAACCACCAAGTGAGCAACACGGGTGAATCACACCTCTAACCTGCTGTAATAATGATGCACGTGATTTACTGACCCGTGCAATAATTACAGTGTTTCGCCATTTCCAGCAAGCAACAAGCAAAGATCAGCACATCAGGTAACAGTTCAGTAACAGTATTGACCTTTAGACTAAAAAAATCAAATTGAATTGAATCATTTTAACCAATCAGAAGGACTTTTTACCTTTATATCAAGCTGCTGAGCAAATGCTGTTTACCCTGGCTGGCACAAGTGCTCACTAGTGTGCTTTCTGTAAATAAGCCAGTACACAAATCGATTGATAACTTTAACGCCGGGATCACTGGTCATTCAGAGCATGCTGCATATGCTTCAGAGTAAAGAGGTATTTCCCTTAGCACATACATAAACAAACAGATGCCCAAGCAGTATGATGATATTATAAGTGAAAGTGGAATATAAGCTATGAATTGCGTTTCTCATCCTCACATTAAATAGGCTAGATATACAGAGAAACAGCCTACGTCATAGTTTAAAGCTCGACGTGTGTTTTTCATTCTAAAATATTTCCCAACTCTTACAACAGTTTCTGAAACATTGTGTAACACAAAGTGCTTCAGATGGATAAAGTTCAGTAAAGCAGAGGTTTGCTAACACAAAGGCTGAGTAAATTACAACGTTACTTTACTTCTAAAGCAAATAAAATCCGTTACAAACCTTTTCGAGCTATTTGTTTCCCTTCAGCGTCTTATCATGACAAGAACTACAAAAACTTCTCCCTCACGGGCAAAACAGATACAGATTATATATCAGCACCACTGTCCGCCTCTGTGCTGCCTCCCTCCTCCGTGATGTTCCGCCTCCTCTTGACTCAGTGTGGAAGAAAGTTGGTTCACTGATTTACCATCCACGAGAACCCGGGACTGTACCAAATGTCGGTAAAAAAGGGGGAGGAGGATAAGGACAGGTCAATAAATAACCACAGGGAATAAGTTATAACACGGTAAATATAACGAGTGATGGTTTCTTACACCGAAGTGACACTGTAAAGAGCAAACTGATGAGTGCACGTGACTAAAGACCAGCTAAATGTAACAGCATTACCCGCCACGACCCCTGTGTGTAGTCGGTTAGTTCAAAGACAATTCGGCAATGAGGTCTTTAGTAGACACCCCCCTCCACCCCCACCTCTAAAGCTTTCTTTGTCTACCTACCTCTTCAACAGCTCTTTGCTATGAAAATCACTCCGCTGGTTTATCCTTAAAGCAGGTATAGTGTGTAGAGTCGGACTTACTGAGTCTAAAATGAAGAAGTGACTGCTTAGACTTCATGATAAAACAGCATAGAAACGGTATGCAGTATGCAAGTGGAAGGTATTGACTGAGAAAGATAACGTCAAAAAGTAAATAAGAAAAAAATAAAATAAGAGGGAGGACTGTGCCTTCCTGTCTGGGTTAAAGGTTGTTCGTCTATTTTGCTTAGATGCTTCATTTGCAAGCATTTCTACCATGACACGAACCCGTGGACAGCTACTTTGCCCTTTATCCTGCGATCATCCTGTGCACACAGTAAAATAAGATAAAACAAGAGAGCAGATATTAGAGCATCCTGTGTTTTGTGCAGCAGCATAGATTTGCATCTGCTCCCTTCCAGTGTAAATGTTGAGAGACTTAGTTTTATGACTACAAATCCACTGAAATGTGAACTGAAAAACGAACAACGTGGAAATCTTGGACAAATGGAAAATAAAAAAACACGGAGCAGATCTAAAGCAGTAATGTTCCAGTTAACAGATCTTATTAATAAACTAACAATGTACTTGTGGAGTTTGTTTGTCAGCGGCTTTCTTCCTCAACAATGATTTCCTTTGTCGTTTCCACCTCTGTTGAATAAACATATTGCTACTCTACAAGTGTCCTCCAGCTGATGTGATTCCAGATCAAGCTCTGAATTCCAAAATACAGAACAGATCATTTCCTAAACACAGCTAATCATCTCCAGACTAGTGTGCATGAGTGTCTGTGTATGTGGTTCGACCAACTCAACCCAGAGCAACTGAGGCCAGTGGATAAAAGATGCTCTCAATCTTTTTCCTTTTTTACTATCGTTTTCCTACGCATACTCTTCTGACTTTTTAACCCTGTCTTGTTTTTTTAGTCTCTTTTCCACACCCCTGCTATTTTGCTGTGCCTGAGCCTTGTGTGTGGACCCACCAAGATGATGTCAATATTTGAGTCAGCCAGGCACAGCGGGAAGTTAAATAGGCCTGTCAATGTTTAACTTAAACCGTCCAGGCCTTTTCCAGGGCACAAGAAAAAGGAGAAAACTGTAAACAGAAAGGACAGACAAGTGAGTGTGCTGCTTGTCATTTTAAGTAGGACAGGGAAAGGTGAAAGAAGGACAAAGCTGTGGAGAAAATGGGAGAGCATACTGTGACTGAATAAATGACGGAGCAATTCAGAGAAGTGAAAAGAATAGAGGGAAGAAAGGCCAGAGATAGACAGATTAAGATACTCGCAGACAAAATATAGACACGTCTACGTAGGCGGGCATGAAGAACAAGATAAGAAGAGAGATCCATTTAACTTTGGGTGACTACACTTTCTTTTTTTCTTTTCTTTTTTTGAGAACATTCTGCAGTCTCCAATAACAATCCAAAGGGTTTGCATGCTCTGCAGTTGCTGGAAGCTGTGACTCATTGTAGGAGCTAGCTGTTCCAAACCACTACGAATTACCCAAAGATACACACACAGACACACACACACAAACATACCGAAATGCATCAATACACTCACATGACTACATGTGTGTAGATGTACATGGACACAAACATATTGCACAACCTGTTGTTTGCATGAAGAAACTTAACTGTGCCCATATGAGTCACAGAGATAGACTGGAATGTGAGTTAACCAATCCAAAAAAGACCCCCCCCCTCCCAGAAAACTAACCACTGTCTCTCTGTTGCACACCAGTTATGAAATACTAAGTATCTACAGTCAGCAATGAAGTCAACTTTCAATTAACTCCAGTACTAATAAGGACCAGTAGATGGCAATATCTCAAAGTGTGTGTATGTGAAAAGGCTTGTATCCTGATGTATGCTGATACCAATGTGCAGTATACAGGCTTTTCCTGAGAGCAGGCTGACCTACACTGTGCGCATGTGTGCGTGTAGAGTTTACCCTGAGTGAGTGGTGTTGGTACAGTGACCTGGACTCCATCAAGACTGCAGAGGTGGCCACAGGGGTCCAGGGTCACCACCCCTCCTGTTGATAATGAGGAGATAGTCAGGGGAAATGAGTAACAGTGAACTACCATTCACTCCAACATTACACTCCGACATGAGATAACTGCCTTAATCATCCTGCTCCTACACGGCATCCTCTGAAAGCATGCAATATCCCCTGTTAATAAAAGGTACTCACTATTCAGATTTACTGTAATTAAACCAAAGCTTCACACAAGAACAAAAACAACAGCGTAATTAATAATCCAGTTCCTCCCTTCTCCTCACAGCTATTCTATAAAAAGCCCAACAGGTATCCAGCTCGATGGCTTTCTCAGTCTTATATTCATTTTGAAACAGTATATTTCTTTTCTTACATTATTAGAATTTTAGGCTTTAGAGGATTGAGAACGTTTATTATTCTTCCGCTGCTGTTTTGTCAGAATAATCTTCTAAAAACAAAATAACAATGATTGCACTTGGGATGGTATTGAGCAGATCTTCTAAATGCCAAATATAATCACAGATTTGATTTCAGTGGATTTTACTTGAAGTAATATTTTAGGATTCAAAAACAAAGATTAAAAGCTTGCTAACGAAAGGAGGAGTTATTTTCCCTTTCCCACGACATGCTGTAAAGATGTAAGCACTCTTGCCAGTGTGGAAAAGACAATAGAGCTGTGTTTATTCTGGGGCCTGCCAAAATTATGACGTCATTTCAGAGAAAGTGAACCAACACAGACCTTCATTGATGATTAGACAATGCTCTGCCTCGATGCCAGGTCCTTGAATGGTAATATCCTGAGGAATTGGAGCATCTTCTGTGCCTATGCGCGTTACCCCTGAAACATAAAGAAACACATTTTTTTGCAATCAGCAGAATATATAAATATAGGGGATAGAATTAGATTTATCATGTCTATATAGGTGGTGTGAGTCATAATTAAAGGGTCTTATATCTAATGCAGTTATCATGCAGACACATTGTGGAGTACAAACTCAGTTTTCCTAAAAGGTCTTATTCACATTCTTAGCATTCTTCAAAGTGTGTGTCAAAGCAGTGGGCAGCGATGATGAAGTGGAAATGTCACAAAGCTGACTCTGACGTCAAGGTCTGCCCTTGTACTGTTTGTAAGTTTATTTCTGCATTAACCCCGACTAAGGGTTAAGTGTCAAATCCATTCATATAAAATGCAGTGTGCACTGTTCTCATTGCAAAGAGAGGACAAGACAAGTAAAAAGACTTCTCTGGCTCACTGGGGTATAATCAGAGCCTTGTGATCTATGCAAGACACATGAAAACTACAAGTTTATGAATGAGAGTTATCACTGTAATGCTTGTAAGGGCAGATATTTGCTGTCTTTTAAAGCTTGTAATATAATGCCTGTCAGTTTGTATTAGTATTCAGTGTCCTGTCTTCGGGCTAATAAATAATAATCACTAGTACAAGTGTGCCTCTCACTTCACTTTGATTTATAATACTACCTGAATGAGTAATGAAGCTGTGAAACCTGTGGCTTGCTGAATTGATTGTGTGTGTGTGTGTGTGTGTGTGTGTGTGTGTGTGTGTGTGTTGTGTTTGTGTGTGTGTGTGTTAGAGGGTGAGAAATTCTAGAAACCTGCGGATAGCTGATAGTAGAGGAAGTATAAATAACTATAATACTCCACCCTTACAGTACAGGAACTAATATAGTGTGTTTTATTAATTGTAGTCAGTTGTTTGTTATGAAAAAAACTGTATACTGGCCTGATATAAATAGCAGTGAACATTCCAAATAAAATCTCTGGATTTAATAAAGCAAGTGCGCTTCCTCTGCTGCATGAAACAGAGTCATGAAACCACGCGATGTGTGTCATTTGTGTTACTGTTGTTTGGGTTGTACTCTGTTGCCAAAGCATTCTCTTCATTTTTTCATGGCTAACTGTGGGTTCAGGCTGTGCCTTAACCAACACATGACAATGAATGAATGTTAATAAGCAACAGTACCCATGGAATTGGATTGAATAACTTGTATAAATATGCACTGGCTCAATGTTTGACACAGTATCACTTTTCCACAGCATCACCCCCCAACTCACTTCTGCAGTAACCACAGAAATGAAGTGACTTGTCCTGGGAAAAGGGCCAATATTTGGGAGAAAAAGAGTGGGAAAAGGTGGGCAAAGGTAGGGCAAAGAGTGCTGACAGGGACTAGAAAGAGAGGGCATATTTCTCCCATAGCGGCTTCTCTTCATTAGCTGTCTGCTAAATTCAGAATCAAATTCAAAATCCTTTCTCTCACAAGCAGGGTCTTGAATAATCACGACCCATCTCATCTTAAAGATCTGAATGTGCCATATTGACCCTCATAACAGAGCATTTTGCTCTCAGACTGCAGGTTTACATGCTGTTCCTAGAAGGGAGGCAGACCCTTCAGCTTTCAAATATAGCGCTTTTCTATTCTCCCAGAGTACTCAAAGCGCTCTATACAACATGCCACATTCACCCAGTCACACAAGCCCTTTCTCTATACTTTGTGCTGTCTAACTACATTCACACTGCAATGGATGCATCGGAGAGCAACTTGGGGTTAGTATCTTGCCCAAGGATACTTGACATGCAGACCGGAAAAAACAGGGCTACAGCAACCCGAACAGGCCCCTCTTCTATGGGACCAGGTCCCAGTTTGGATTAAGGAGACAGATACCCGGTCTACTTTTAAGATTAGGCTTAAAACTTTTCTTTGTAAAGCTTAGCATATAGGCTGGATCAGGTGATCCCAAACCTCTCCTTAGTGCTGCAATAGGTCTAAGCTGCTAGGGGCTTCCCATAATTGTATTCAGTGTTTCTTCTTCACTCACCTTTTTTTAAACTCTCTTTTACTTCTCTAATGTGTGCCTTTCTCTTATTTTTGTATATATTTCTCTTGGTTTGTATATATTTCTTCTTTTTGCTGTTGATTCCTGCTGTCTACTACTTATATTTTATTTATATTTTTTTTCTGGCACAGTTGATGTGGAGCACCCACAATTTTGTTGTACATGTATAATGACAATAAAGGGCTTTCCATTTTATTCTTCTACGTAATCATTAGTCAATATTAATCTCTGGCTGTCTTCCACAGTGTGTCCTTGTGTGTCCTTTGTCCTGTCTCCATGCTCTCATCCTCAACCGGTCATGACGGACAGACAGCCCTCCCTGAACGTGGCTCTGCTGGAGGTTTCTTCCTGTTAAAAGGGATTTTTTCTTTCCCACTGTCCACCACGTGCTTGCTTATAGGGACATCTGATACAAAACACCATGAGATATCTGTTGCTTTGATTCAAAGCTATATAAATAAAATTAAGTTGAATTAACATTTGAAGCTGTGAGGATGTGCTACATTAGGAATGAATGTGAAAAATTGTGGCTACTGACTTAATAACCTGCCCATGCTGAGTTTGTGTATTTACTGTAAATTGTGTCTGGGGTTTTTTGTGTGTGCGTTACCCTCTTTCAGCGGCAGAACAGTAATAGCCACACTCAGTCTCCCACTGCCCAGGCTAACCAGATGAGGAGTTGCTGTCTGGACTTTTAGTCCTTTCCCTGTGTCGATCAGGTCCAGGGGCGGAGACTACAAGCAAGAGTCAGTGCAAAGGTCATTTTAAAAACACACTTTATAGTCATAAGACTAAAATGAATGTGCCATTGTGCAACAGTGTTCATGCTGGATTTGTTCAAAAACCACATAAAACTTGTGAATGTGTGCATATGTGTTTTCCTGCGTCTGTGTGTATTCTGACCTTAGGTTCACCTGGAGAGATCTGATCGGACTCTGGTTGAAACATCATCTCTGATTCCTGTGTACACATTCAGGCAGACACATAAATGTAAACACAAACAATCCAGACATGTAGCAGTGTACACAATTATGACAAAACTTGGGAATGACCTGCATGGAATGACCAAACATAGAAACACTCAAATAAAGAAACCACACAAAAAAAGAAAAGAAAAAAATGAAAAGAAGGGGAAAAAACTGCCCACAGCTTACCCAGCTGCCACGTGAAATGAACTCTGATTCTGAAAATGTTCCAAGTAGAAAATGAGAGGAAAATAGGTTTTTTTTTTTTGCAGTGGGGATAAATGAGAGAAATGTTTCATGAAAGCAGACTTCCCACAAACTGTTAAAGTCTGCCATCACTCTGCTGCAATGAATGTGTCTGGATAAAGAGAGATACAGAGTAACTAATAAGGTAACTGAGTTTCTGTGTGCATGCTATGAGCAGTATACTACTTAAAGTAAATACACAGCAAAGCTCGTGCTTGTGCACGGCCATGGCGGTGACAAAGCAAGTGCACATCATTTACCCAGGTTGCATGACTTTAAATCCTGACCATGACTTGGGTGGATATTCATGGTGGCCAGTGAATAATTCTTCTTAATTTTATGTCACCTGAAATTTTTATTGTCACCAAAAAATGTTAACATGCAAATAAGCATGCTGATGAGAACTATTCAGAATGTGCTCCATTAAAATATAATATATATGTAATTGAAGCTGCAATGTCTTCCTGCACACAAAACCCACTTCTTACCATTTTCTAAGTCCTGTTCAGCATTTATCAAACAGTATGGCACAGTTCAAATTATGTCATAAGCAAGGCATCTCCTAATCTAACAGGCAGATTGAGCTCAGCTATGCTCCCAGGGTGATAAACTTTGTATTTGGGCATATTT